TTCGGCATGGTAACCATATAGAAGATTATGATAGTCTTTCGAATGAGGTCGTTTCTTATGCTCATGGGCTCCCGTTAGCACTTAAGGTTTTGGGTTCACTTCTTTGTGACAAAAACAAGAGTGAGTGGGTGAGCGCTTTAGCCAGACTAAAAGATATCCCWGAAGATGACATATTGGAAACGCTAAAAATTAGCTACGATGGACTTAAAGCCGAGGAGAAAGAGTTGTTCCTAGATATTGCATGTTTTTTTAGGGGAAACACGTGCTTTCATGAGCGATGGGTGATACTCGAAGCTTGTGGTTTTCACCCTCAAATAGGGGTAAGGGTGCTGAAACAAAAGGCTCTCATAACTGTGACAAAAGAAGGATGGTTTGATATGCATGATCTGATACAAGAAATGGGACACTACATCGTTCGAGGAAAAAACCCCCGAAATCCAGAAAAACACAGCAGGGTTTGGAAGTGGGAGGATGTTTTAACAATATGTGCTACACCGACTGTAATGTTTAAGCTAGCCTCCTATATAAGTTATATATGCTATGAATGATATACGTATACCCATAAAGATATACCCTAAATCAACCCTAACAACATTTTGTTTCTCTATTACAGAAAAATGACCGGATTGAAGCAATAAGAACTGAGTTTGTGTGGGAGCAAAGGGAGRAAGAGAAGGCAGCTTTTCGTAATTTTTCTTGTGTTGTTGCAAACATGAAGGAACTTCGGTGGATTTCTTGCTATGCATATCCAGCAACTTCATTGCCAGGAAATTTTCAATCAACGAACMTATTTTATCTAGGGTTGGAACAGAGCTCGCTAAAGCAACTTTGGGAGGGTTATAARGTAATTCTTATTGTTTATCTAATTAAGCAAAGTGGATGATAAATTATAAATATAACTAATTTACATAATATAGTCTATTTACTTTATATAAGCTTTTAATCACTAAGCAATGATATTTGTGTTCAATTTTAAATCTAATTTAGTTTTAAGTTTCCTAAAAGAACTAAATGTTATTCATAATTATAAATGCTCTTAAGAATTATAAAGTAGTGACTAAAGCATTCCGTTGTAATAATAAGTGATTTTATTGTGTTAGTTTATATATCAAACCGATTGTGTATTTTTAATTGGTGGTTTTTTCCGAACATTTTGCAAAAATTGGAAGTGTATCCTATAATTAATTTTTTGTATTAGTTACTTTCTATCTTTGTGTATCCTAAGCTTCTCAACACTCTATGCTACTAAAAAAGTATTTTGCCATCGTTGACTTGTGTGTCATTGTATACAACAGCATTTGCCAAATTTGAAAGTGCTCAACCTCAGTCGTTCCAAACAACTTATCACGACACCAGATTTTGACGGACTTCCATGTCTTGAAAGAATAAAACTCGAACATTGTTTCAATTTAACAGATGTTCATCCATCAATTGGATATCATGAAAGGCTTATTTACGTGAATATGAAATTTTGTACCAACCTTAAAAAGTTTCCCCCCATCAGAGGGATGAAAAAGTTGGAGACTCTTATTCTCTCTTGGTGCCCTCAACTTTGCATGTTCCCGGAGATCCAAATGAACATGGATAACTTGATAGAGCTTTCTTTGATGAGAACTGGAATAAAAGTTGTACGCTCGTCATTYGGAAAGTATTGTACCAACCTTCTTTCTCTTGATTTGGGACATTGCAGAAGTCTAGAGAGTATTGAAGGCAACTTCTATCACTTAAAACATTTGAAAAAGTTTTCTATCGCTAGATGTAAAGAGCTTAAGATACCAGCAGAGGGCCTCTTTGCTGTAACTTGTTGTTTAGAGGTGCTTAATTTATTTGGTACATCCTTCAAGAATCTTCACCCAGGCATCGTAAGCATGAAGTTTCTTGGGTTTCCASCTTCCTTAAGAAGGTTGCGTCTTGGCTTGTGCGATTGGATAAATGGAGACATCTCATCTATTCTTTGCGAGTTATCCAACATACAAGTATTATATCTACAACAAAATGATTTTTCACGATTGCGTTGCAGCCTTTTGCAACTTTGTAGTCTCAAGGTYCTCAACMTGTCATGTTGYTGTGACCTTGTAGAATTACCAGATCTCCCATCAAGCATAGCTGTTCTCGAAGCATATAGGTGCAAAAATCTTAAACTTGTAGATCTTCCAACAGATCTTAAATGGTTGTGGAGAATCACACTTCCAATGAATTGTATATTGGGTGATGTGGAGAGAAAAGTACAATCCATGTTTCAGGTATGACTCTGTATGTCTTGTTGTTGAATTTCAGTATTAATTAATTTGTATATGTAGACTAAAACAAAATAATATTCATCATGATAGGGAAGTTCCGTTTATGATAACTCCATCAGTCTCTCTTTCCATGGTGATAACATTCAATTAGAAGACTTTGCAAGGAGAAGATTGATGTTAGAGCTTCCAAGGAACTGGTACAACGAATTCAGTGGATTCTTAATATGCGTTAACATGATGTGTGACGACCTGAGTCATGTAATTACTWTCGAGGACGTAATGGATAGGGAAAATGAAGATTTTTTGGAGGTGTTTGATGGAACTCCCGAGGAGATATGGGTTGAGGAATACAGGTGCTATATATATATATCCTTCGGTTCATTGAGGCATACCTCATGGTGGAAGTCAACACACACTACCATTTCATTTTCCATACAAAGAGGTAGTTACGTAAAAGTCGAACTTGTTCCTAGAAGTAAAGGTGATCCAATAAAAAGAGTCAAACATACAACAAATTCCTCAGCGTTTTGGGACACAGAACCTATTAAGATCATACATGATTCAAAATCTTGTATCAAGATTACCTGGCGTCCTGATGATATGCCGGACTTGTTCCACGATTAGAATGTCTGATATTTTTTTTCACTGTTCGTTCCATTTTGATAAAAAAAAAAAAAGAAGAAGATATTCCTCTTTTTGCTTTGATTAATAATGAAAATCTCTAACCTTGCTGGAAGGGTAGGCATCTTTGCCAAACATTGTTAAATCATACCATTTCTTCCCTTTCTCCTTAATTTTTTCTCTAAATCCCACTTGATTTCTTAACAAATGCTGCTTCATTTTAACATTCATTTAGAAAATAAAACCATGTTTCTGCATTTAGATTAAAACAACAAATAACATTTCACATATTCATCAACAATAAAATAAATTTTTATTATATTCCAACTAACCGAGATTAAATGTATATGAAATAGAAATAATATTTTATTAAATGTATGGAATATTTTAATCATATAATCAATATTTTGATGTCCAAAATTTAGAAGCAGTTAGAGTTGAATATAATATTTTTTTTAAGATTTTGAAAATTTTGATCCTTCGTTTTAATGAAAATTAAAAAAAAATAAAAATCTGTTAGTGATACTTTTAGGGTTGTTTAGCAGTTGCTAAATGATTTTGTGCAAGATGATTAAGTGGTTCGAATGATTAATATGTTCTTATGATATAATGGAAAATAAAATATAATTGTTCGGTAATTGTTCAACATGAAATCATGGCATTGAATGGTTCAGGAGGTCCAAGATACAAAATCATTCAGAGAGTTTTGAAACCATCAAGAGACGGACATCTATTTTTACCAAACAAGATTCACTTCTTAGCTATTCAGAGAACCGAACTATAAAGAGTCTTATCTGAATGCGTTACAATAGGTTTATATGATGTTTTTAAAGTGTCTTATTAGCTAATTGAACACTTTTGAGAAGTGTATTGTAAACCACCTTTTTATAGGACACTTATGTTTATAGGAAAAAGTGTCGTATAAAATAGTAAAATATGACACTTTATTTTAAAAGTGTTCTAATTTTTTTGTTAAAACATCTAAAAATGTCTCATAAACCTATTGTAACACTATTAGATGGACGTTTTTTGTTAAACCTATTGTAACACTATTAGATGGACGTTTTTTGTTTTGGTCCTATAAATTTAACTCCTATAAAGTATTTTTTTAGGATGCTTTTATATTTTAGGCGTCCTATAAAATCAATTTTGTTGTAGTGTGCACGAACACTTTTAATTCAAGCTAATTAGTGATCCTTTCTGTAGTTTCATAGAAAATTGGATGAATCAAACCTAAGCATGTGTTTTAAGGACACTTATCGAGGGATATGCCGGTTGTGGGTTGTATGAGAACATAAAACATGTAAACTTGCATTTACAATATCTTCTATAATGAAGCTCTACATTCACTTTTCACGTTCTGGAGCACTCTTCTAGTATTGGCACTCTTCTATAAAAAAGTCGAATAGGCCCCTATATATATATATATATATAAACTTGGGATCATGTGAGACCAGCCTGTTTTTGTGAGACCCGTGAGACCAACATTTTACACTTGAAACTTCACAGCTTAATGCTGTGAAGGTGACTTTCTAAAACCTTCACAGTGTTTTTGCTGTGAAGGTTCGACTTTTTTTAAACCTTCACAGTGTTTTTGCTGTGAAGGTTACGTGTAAAAATGTGGTCTCACGGGTCTCACGAAAA